GACAGAAAATTTCAGGGGAATGTTTCCTGTCTATGCAGCGCACCACAAACTCGAATTCAGTTCCTAAGTATGCCGAGGTCTCGCGTGCGGCCACATGAAAGTTTTGTCTCAAAGATCATTTGAAAGCCAGAAAATTAAGAGGTTGAAGTTTTGGAAAAATATTCACCCTTCGAGGTTTTAAATTTAGCTTTCGCGTGCCTGTCCGTGAAATTTTTAACTATTTTTCAGCTCAACTATTTCTGCACAAACCAAAATGCAAAGCAGTAAAAATCATTAGCAGGCAATCGTTGTACAAAACGCATGATCGCACCGGCTGTTTTGGTGCGCGCTGCTATTTATTACATTCAGTCGCGCTTCGTTTCCACAGAATACGCCTACTAAGCGTTGTCAGAGAGTGGTACTGCCTCTCGAGCGCGCGATGTGCATAATGCTGTGGGCGCTGCTAGTGATTCTGGCGTTCGTTTCTCTGCTTCCTTCGTTCGTAATCCGCGAGGCGGGGACGGGGGTGCTTCGCTTGTGCTGGTGGTCGACTGTGCTGGCCAGCTTGCTCAGCTTCGTGGAGAACAGTTTGGTTGCAGTACGCGGATGCATTCAAAAATGCAGAAGCTGCGATGAGAGTACTGCTGGAAGTCTGCGGCAGCGCCAACTTCGAGACTAAAAAGGATTGGAACAAAGTGTACGAGAAGAATGCCGAACCGGTCTACGTAAAAAAATTTGACATTGGGAGAGTGTTCGCACTAAAGGTTCATATTCGTGCCTCTCATTTGCAAGCACAGTACACTGCTCGAAGAAATCTCTGCAACTACTATGATGCGATAGCATGGGTGCATGTAGGCATTAGCCTTGATTTGCTTGTTCAGCTCGAGATGAGCTTTGTAAATTCGCTACTGTCCACATCTGAAGCTGCAGAGCTTCAGAACTAGCAAGTTTTTCACCACAACGCTGCATAAAATTCGACTAAATCAGCTGCGGTGTTATCAAATAGGAGCGAAATAGAAGTTTTTTCATCACAGAGGCTCACCATCCATCAGGCAGTTTGCTCATCTTCTCAAATGCCAGTTGATTGGATAATTCCTGGCCCTGCTGTCGAGTAAGAAAGATACTGTTGAAAAAAGAGTGAGAACAATTCAGAAATTTTCCATTTCAATGATCCATTAATCTTGCTACGCGTGAATTTCTTTTTTTTCTATTGATTCGGACTCCAATATTTCTAATAAAACACCGCCACTTTCTTTTTCTCCAGTTCAGTACTGCTACTACTATCACTGCTACTACTGGTTTTATCAGAACAATACTTCCATATGAATTATATGTACAGCTCTCAAATTTTTGACTTTTTTTATAACAATTTATGCTGCAGCGCATCAAGTCTGCCCACGTGATCATGCATTTTAGCGCTAAAATTGCCACAGTTAGGCTTCTAAACAGTAGGAATTGTTCCTGCATTGTGATTTAATGCGTGAGCTCATACTGACCGTGTTTTGGCCTTTCCCTGTATACAGCAGGGAATGTTTGTGTCGCATTATGGAGCCCCATGAACATCCAGCGTGTATGTTTATAAATTTTTCATGAAGCCCGGTGAGCCGTCTTTCATCAGAATACAAATTCGACGATGTGTAGGATGTCGAAAGTGGATTATGAAATCCAGTAAAATGCATTCGCACTTGCGTTTGTGATAAAACTGAATATTTGCGATGTCAGCGTGCTGGGAATTTCACCTGCAAGCTGCATTTAGATCAACGTGAATATAGAGTATTCTTGCAAAGTTGCGAATTCGCAGCTTCTCCGTTAAACGAAATAGCCAATTCGCTACAAAAATATCAGG